CGCTTTGGTGACGTGGTTGATTACGTTACTGTTGATCATCTGTCCATCATCGTATAAAGCCCGCCCTGACAATTTGATTGGCCCGCCAGATATTGTGCGAGCATACTCGCGCTACTATTGAGCAACGCCAGACCGAACTTCCCGACCTCAAACGTTGTGGGAGGGACTAAGTTCGGAATGGCACCCAGGCTAGGGTGCTGGTGCCTATCTCCAGCAGTCATTGGGCGAGAGGCGGGGTACACCCTGGACAGGTTGCCAGTCCATCACAGGGCAAAACAGGACAAACAACCATTCACATACACACTCACACCTAAGGGGACTTTAGAGAAGCCGAACTAAATAACAATTCCATGTAAAGTACTCTGGATTGGATCTCAGCGATCTGATATGAAATTACCAATATCCAATCCGGCTAATTAGTCAATATCGCTATCCGGTATCCGATCCACGTATCACATAGGGTTATCTCTATTAAAAATACAGTTATACTCATTTCAGTTTATGACATAAAATACAATTACATTTCTGGTTGTGACATAAAAAAAAAAAAAATCAAATTCAGACAGGGTCAAGTTATTGATGTTTTCTTTTTACAGTAGGGTATTTTCAGACAAGGTGAAAACATCCACTAAAAATGATTAAAAGAAAAGAACTCTTTCCATTTACAAGGACAGACATTTAATCCAAAAGATGCGGTGTATAAATTGAAGAACCCTGCAGTACCAACAAAAGCATACGTTCCAGAGTCAAAAATGCACATGCTTGTTTTTTTTAAAAAGGTGGTGCAATAGAAATCTCTGTGGTTTATGCAATCTGTAGGCTAGGAGTTAAAATAGTTGTCTAGTACCATCCATATGGAGCCTTGAATACAGGGCTATTATGCAGTATTGTTGCTGTCATTGCACTATGCAGTCTTGATGAAGCAACTGATGATTAGTGCATGTTGATAAGGATAAACAGTGATTATAACCCTAATATCTCTTCAATTCAGGCAAAAATGCTTCCACCAGCCCTCTATCCAAGGCCAACACCACCTTCTCTTTGGCTCTGCTCAGGAAGCTGAGTGAGGACAACAGCACTGCAAATATCTTCTTCTCTCCTTTCAGCATCTCTGCAGCTCTGGCTATGTTGATGATGGGAGCCAGAGGCAACACAGCCTCTCAGATATCAGAGGTTGTATGTAGAATACAGCATTTAACTTTTGTACATTTCTGTAGTTAAGTGTTTCCCTCTTCTATCTTCTTTTTTCAGGTATTTTACTCTGATTTCTTCTCTCTTTATTGAGCGTCTGTTCACTAGCTCTGGTCTTCTTTGTCCTCAGTGTTTGGAAATCCAGGATTGTCAGAATGATGTACACAATCTGTTTTCCAAGCTGCTGGGAAAGCTCAACCAGCCAGGAGCTCCATTTGATCTCAGTGTTGCCAACAGATTGTATGGAGATCAGTCCTACAGCTTTCTGCAGGTGAGGGGGTGTTAATGTTCAGCATGGACACATAGTAAATAACTATTTCAGGAGGAAGTCGTAGATGTGTTGTTTGTGCTTTCAGGAGTTTTTAACCGAAACAAGGTCTTACTATAACTCAGAGATGGAGTCTGTAGATTTCAGAACCAGCTTTGAGGAAGCCAGGGTCAAGATCAACAGCTGGGTAGAGGAGCAGACAAAAGGTGGATCATGCAACACCATCAGTTCATTGCATGACCCCACCCATCTCACACAATGATGATAAAGAAGCCTAAAGAGGATGAGCTCCATCTGGTGGATCACTGTGGGGGCCCTGTCACACCCTGACGTCCCTGAATCTCCCAAAACTCTGGCATACGCTGAACTTTCTATGTATTTTTTTTTTTTTGGGCGTAAATATAGTGTATTCATAACGACATCATTCCAACAACAGCCTAACTTATGCATAACGCATGGCAGCGTAATGCCAATGAAATGATGCACAAGCCAGTGTCCTGACGGGGGCAGCAATGTGCCTGGTCTGCATAAAAATATGTCCTTGATCGCAGTATTAACCTAGCTGCTGTTTAGCGCCCGCCCAAAAAAGAATACATAATTAATAGTGTTGCACCGATACCGATACCAGTATCGGACGGGGCCCCGATACTGCCCTAAAATGGTGGTATC